CCAGAGGGAAGGACGAGAAACAATGGTTGGAAACTGATCAAGGAGAGAAGCAACCTGGAATTAAGGAGAAACTTCCTGACAGTGAGGACAATTAACCAGTGGAATAGCTTGCCCCCAGAAATTATGGGCACTCCATCACTGGAGATTTTCAAGAAGAGACTAGACATTCACCTGTCTGAGATAGTGTAGGCTGGACTAGAAGACCTCCAAGGTCCCTTCCTATTCTATTCTATTCTATTCTATTCTATTCTATTCTATTCTATTCTATTCTATTCTCTCAATCATTACAAGATTGAGGGTTGGACTGGATGACCTTAGTGGTTTCAGCTCTGAGAGTGGGGAGGAATTAGGACTGAAGAAGCTTCTTGGATGAGAAGCGAGACATTTCTAAGGAAAATCAAGAAAGTCCAGTTGTTATTTGGAGAAAAGCACCCTTGGGATGCCTTAGATTAATCTAACGGCCCTGAAAAATATCCGTTTATTGCGGAAAATTGATGAATAGCCCTCGCGATTTCATCTTCTCTCCTCAAGAAGCAATGACGCACAAAGGCACGACGACGACAACAAAAGATTAGAATGAGGCAGCACTAAAATCCAGAGAGCTGAACTTTAAAGGAATTATTTTTAAGCATCCTCCTTCTCTTTTGAGATCTCCGGTGGGCCAAAGTTTACTGGTGCTGTCAATCAACTTTAATATTTGCAAGGAAGCATAAATATCAAAAGAAGGAAAGAAGACGCTCCCTCACTCCTTCTAAAGCACACTTAATCTGAGGTAACCCACACTTATGGCATTCGACAACTCCTTCAGAAACAAGCGGTTGCAAATTTGGAGAGTCAATTTGCACTACAGGAAGACGACAGTGCAATTTATTTACTTATTTATTTATTTATTATTTTAATTTGTATACCGCCCTTCTCCCATAGGACTCAGGGCGGTTCACAGCATATTAAAAACAAATAATATACCCAAAATACAAAAAATACACAATACAAAAATACAAAAGAATAAACCCTGATAAAAGCCGAATTAAAACCAAATATTCCCAGCTGTGTTTCCGATTAAAATACTTTTAA